CTGAATTGAGTGTGAAATTTTAGGAGGAAGAACAAAAACTCTATCGGTCAGTTCCTAGAGTTATTCTCGTAGGTTCGATTAACAGTTCACGCGATAGTAATGTCATATCGTGTGAAAATTTTGTCAAGACAGAGTTCGTATGTAGGAACAATCTAATAACTGAAATGACAACCGTAATCAGAAACAAGTAATTTCTAAATGCGGAGTTTCAATGTACAAACAATTGTACAGCGATAGCCTTTCAGGCGCACTAATTTTTATTTGACAGCAACAAAAAACAGCATTCGTCCGCGACTGATCTTCTAACGAATCACAACTATGAACAAATGCGCGGCGCCAATTCATTCAGTGCCAACCCCACTGCCAGCTGTCCCACGGATAATGATGTATGTAGTGATGGCCAACTCCGTGGAACAGTCCAAAGTGTCCGTGATGGGGGTGACTGAATAATCCATGATGCCCATAATGAAGCGAATGATCAACCGGATGCCACGAGTCATGCCAGCCGTCATCCCACCAACCGGATGCACCAGCTGCTGCCAGTACTGCTGGCAATATTACTAGCAACATGTACGATACCATCGCTGAAGCCTAAATTCAACACACTATTTTTTGAGCGTTTCACTTCTCATACTTTCGTCTTCTAAAATTATTATCTGCAGTAATCGAGGCTTTCAGTGAATGTTGCTGCACGAAACAACAACTTTTATTCGTTTGTGCAGCACATTCAAAACATACTGAAATGCACAGAGGAAATACTCTGCCGTTAAGCTTGTATTTCAGTTTTGGAACCACATAGAATAACAGCTGAGTTTATGATAAAAGCGGCTTTTAACTGTTTTCATAAAATCCTAATTAGCTACTCTCAGATTTATTTTGAACTCAATGAAAATAGAGGAAACATTTCAGAAGCTACTACTTGAAGCAGAAAGCTTGAGTTCTCCATTCAAACCTTGGCATATTTCGACATGCTAGGATCTAAGTATAAGCCAAAATGCGCTTAGCTACAAAT